GTCCTGATGTCCACTTCTCTGACAGCTGTCCTGCACTCAAGATTAATTAAGCAGCAATCAATCAGATCTATGAAACACGCAGAGCTGTCCCCGGAACTCAGATTAACAAAATAAAAAATGAAACCGGTCAATCTCACGTGTCTGTCAGAAACAGAACTGTCCTGTAATCCAGATCAATTTCAGTAGGCAAGGCGATCAATCCATCAAACTACCACAAAACCCTGCCCCCATTAGATACTTCCAGATCAGATCGGATCCCATCGCATCGGATCCGATCAGATCAGATCAGATCAGATCAGATTTGAATTCGCGATCTGTTTGTTCATGAACCGTACACCTGCTCTGATCTGAATCTGATCTGATTAGATCAGATCCATTCAGACACATGAGCCGCGAAAAAAAACACCGAAAAGAAAAGAAAAGAAAACCGATCTTGTGTGGGAGACAGCGACCTTGTTCTCTTCTCTCTTCTCACTTTCAAAATGACCTTCTGTCCAAGTCACCTGATTCGAACTGGTGATCTGTTCTTGATTACTTCTCTCGCTTCAGGAAGCCTAACGGAGGTTGGCGTCCAGTTTTTTTCCCGCCTTGGAAAACCGACATGTCCAATTCAGACATACCAACGTACCGATCCTTACACAAAGCAGAGGAAACGGATTCCGTTAGCGGTTACGTTGGCGTTCCGTTTGCCTTTCATTTCCATGTAAGTTTGCCTCAAGCCATGGCAGACAACGGACGATGTTCATCCCGTTAGCATTCCGTTTGCATTCCGCTTGCATTCCGTTTGCATTCCGTTTGCATTCCGTTTGCATTTCGTTTGCATTCCGTTTGCATTTCGTTTGCATTCCGTTAGCATTTCGTTTGCATTCCGTTTGCATTCCGTTTGCATTTCGTTTGCATTCCGTTTGCGATCCGCTTGTGGTTCGTTTGCGATTCGTTTGAGCTCCCGTTTGCGGTCCGTTTTCCAATATAGGGAACCAACAACGTGCCTACCTCAAGCCATGGCGGACAATGGACGATGTTCATCCCGTTTGCATTCCGTCTGCATTCCGTTTGCGGTCCATTTGCGCTCTGTTTGTCGTCCGTTTGAGATCCGTTTCTAGTATCGCAGCCAACAACGTGCCTACCTCAAGCCATGGCAGACAGCCGACGACCTTCACCCCGTTTGCATCCCGTTTGCATTCCGTTTGCATTCCATTTGCATTCCGTTTGCATTCCGTTTTCCAATATAGAAAACCCAACACCGTCCCTACCTCACGACGCGGTAGACAAGAGACGACGTTTGCATTCCGTTTGCATTCCGTTTGCATTCCGTTTGCGTTCCGTTTGCATCCCGTTTGCGTTCCGTTTGCCATTCTCGTAATGACAAAAGGGGGTTAAAAAAAAAAAAAAAAAAAAAAAAAAAAGCCGGTACGTTTAATTCATGCAGACCACCGCCAGCACCACACGACTTACCTACCTCAAGACAAGGCAGGCAGCCGGCTTCCCCTCTGATTCCTGCACAGCGATGTCCGCACTGCAGCTTGCGCGTGCAGGCACTCTCAAGCTTCGCGTGGCAATCGCTTCGACTGCAGACGGCGTCACTCAACTGCAGAACCTCCACTAGATCATCCTTCTCTACACACCAAGCCATGTCCAACCTCCGTCTTTCCACCTCCCTTTTCAACGTCTTGACAGACATGGCGACGCTCCAATCGTCCACCTCATCAGTCGAGACTACTGCTCCTCCTCTCGATCTGCTGCTGCTGCCACGTGGCAGCAGCTTCTCGTCACAGTACCGACACTTAGCCGCCCAGTGGTCCTCGCACGACTCCCCTAGGTGATAGGGGATGGCGAGGCACTTGCCGCAGAAGACGATGCTGCAGAGAGAGCAGCGGTACCTGTTGCGTGCGCGATGGAGAATCGCCTCCCTCGTCAGCGGCCTCCCATCTTCTCCCAATTCCGACGAGAAGGGCACTGTTCTGTCTATCTCCGGCACACCGCAGGGGAGGACTCCGTCGGGCGGCGTGCCCTCGATTCTCTCAATAACCACGTGACACGTGGGATTAGGGCAGCGGACGAAATCGCTGCGCGCTAAAAGCACTTGAGTGGCGCTGTCGCACCATCGGCGCGCAGCGGCTGGCGCCACCTCTTGGCAGTCCTCGAGGGACAGAAACCCCGCGCAAGATGATGGCGCATTAGGACAAGGGATCGAGTCCTCCTCCGGCATTGTTATAGCTGCTCTCCGTTTGCGGCTTTCAGCAGCAGCAGCAGCAGCAGCAGCAGCAGCAGCCGTCGGTTGAGACGCGGCGGCGCTAGTTTCGCCCCCTCTGCTGTCATCGCCACCGCCGCCGCCGTTGAAGTCCCTTGACCGATGGTGGTTGTGGTCGTCGTCTTGGTTATGGAGATGGGGATGGGGATGACGGTGGTGGTCCCCACTCACCGCAGTCTCCCACTCCTGGATTGTCGATTCCCAATCCCGACGCCTGTCATCAATACACGACTGCACATACTTGGTCACACAGGGCTTGCAAAAAAGACAAGAGCAGCGCGCCATCGGATAAACCAACCTGAGGGGCACAGATCCCGACTTGCACAATTGGCACACAAACGAGGCCTCATCATAGAGCCCTTCTTCATCACCATCATCTGAAAGTTCCATGAAACTACCACTACTACACCCACCTCCTCCATCTCCATCAACAGTGCTCGCCGCTACCGACTCGCCCCTTCCACGTCCTTGTCCCCGACTGCTCGGACGACCGGTCGCTTGCCAACCATCCAAACAATCGCGTTCGCCTCGGACGACCCGTTCGGTCGCCACATTGTCATCCCCCTCCCTTTCTCTTTCTCCTCCTCCTCCTCTCTCTCTTTCTCCTCCTCCTCCTCCTCCTCCTCCTCCTCCTCCTCCTCCTCTTCGACGTCCAGTTCCTCCTCCACCTACAACTCCTTCCCAATTCATAGCTGCACGTCCCGACAAAGCCCCTGATGGCCCTTGAGACGACCGTTTCCCAAGTCGTTGCCGGATACCTGCATCTTCATCATCTTCACGGTTATGTACATCATCATCATCATCATCAGCAGCAGCAGCAGCAGCAGCAACGACATCAACATCGTCATCACCACCGTCGTGGTCATCGCCGCCACCACCATCATTCACAATCCCATTGCTCCAACTGCTGCTGCCGGTGCAACGCCGCGATACCGATCCCGATCCCGATCCCGATCCGCAGGGATCTCCTACTCCCTCGCCGTTCCCGCTATCTTGCCGTCTCTTCTGGCCGATGCATCTCCCGCCACCCTCGTCCCCGTTGACGTCAACGTCAGCCAGCCGCTTTCCCGCCTTTTTCTGCGGCGATGGCGGGCCGTCCACCACGATGAACTCGCAAGCGAAGTCGCCATCGCTGTCGGGATACTCGCCAGGGATATGATCAATCAAGGCCTGCTGTATCTCTCGCAGTTCTCGATCATCTAGATTGAGGCGGGAGCACTCCTCAATGACGTACTGTGAGTCGTCCATTTGCCTCATGTCCTCATCATATCGCAACGAACCATCCCAACCCCGATCCCGATCTCATCCTCTGATTGATTGCATCGGCAAGCGAACGAAGAATCTATGAAAGGAAGAAAGGAAGAAAGGAAGAAAGGGAAGAAAGGAAGAAGGGGAGGAAGGAGGGAAGGAGGGAAGGAAGAAGGGAGGAAGAAGGAGGGAAGGATGGCAGGAAGAAGGAGGAAGCGAGCGGGGAAGAGGGAGGAAGAGAGGAAGGAAGAGGGAGGAAGGGAGGGAGGAAGGGAGGAGAGGAGAGGAAGAAGAGAGGGACGAAGGGCGAGGAAGAAGAGAGAAAAAAAGGGAGGAAGAGGGAGGAAAAAAGGGAGGAAGGAATGAAGGAAGGAAGACAGAGAAGCAGGAAGGGAGGGATGGAGAGG